TGTTTATACCTCAAGGGGTTGAGACTCTTGGATCAGATCCATTATATTTAAATATTTACATGTACAAATATATGTTTGTATTTGCAAAGATCTTCCTGAGAGGATATATAAAAAAAATAAACCAATTGCCTCTGGGTGGGGAAGACTGGGGACAGGGAGGGGAGTAGGGGGAGGGCGTGAGACAGGGCGTGAGACTATTCTTTTGTTCTTTAAACTTTTTTTTTAGCCATAGGCTTGTATCCTATTTTGAATTAAAATGGGCAAGAGTTTTGACAGATTTGCTAAGCGGAACTGGATGAGGTCTTCCTGTGTGTGATCTCGAGCCCGAGGCTGGGGTTGGAATGGGTTTTCTTATGGCCCCCAGTGGCGGACGGGGGCAGCTGGTGGTCTGAAGCCTGAGGGCTGCACCAGCTTCGTGATATCCCTGCCCTGCTCTAGGGCACCTCCTCGGGCTGCCGCTTGGTTATAGGGTCGGAACCAGCCCATCTTCTGTCGGCTTCTGGTTTTTCCTCAACCACCCCTGGAAATGTGATGGAGGAGGGCCCACCAGGTGGGGCTGTCACACCCCAGCCTAGAAACAGGACCCCAAATTACAGAACTACACCAGCCAGAGGGAACTTACAGCCTGGCAGGTCTAAGGCCCACTGAGGCCCAGGGAGGGACAGTGACCCGCACAGCCTCAGAACTAGAACCCAGGTCCCTCCTCCCCAGGCCAGAACTCTTTATACCTAGCAAGGGGCAGGTGGCAAGGAGAGGCCCTCCTGCTTAGGTAGTGGGCAGAGGGTGAGGGGTTTAAATGGGTACCCTTGATTTCTGGGGGGACCCTTGACAATCTGCCTCCTTATGGGGGCTACTCGGAAATTACCATCCCACACCTGACTCTGCCCACCCTTCCCTGCACTGCTGCCCCACCTCAGACTGTACCCCCTTCTCTTCCTACCCCCCGCCCCCCCACAGATGAGTGTGAATGCTCCGGGTACCCTGGGTTCCAGGGGAATGATGACAGTCTGAGCGGTGTGTCTATGCGCATGCGTGTGAGTGCACGCTGACACTCGGGCCCGCCCCGCTGCACCATAAGCTCCCAGAGGACCTAGCCCACAGGTGCTCCCTACCCTTCGTGGGACAGCCAGGCGACACCTGGCACACACCCCAGAGCCACAGCTCCCTGAAAGTCAGAACAGGCGGGGCCTCTCAGTACCTCATACCTCAGGGCATGGGAAGGTTAAAAAGGGGTCCATGGCCAAATACACCAGGGGCACTCCGTATTAATATGAAGAGACCAGCTTCTCGCGGGACTTCTCAGAGCCTTTCATGTGCTGATGGACACTGTGAGTCTCTCTCTATGAGACCAGAGGGTACTTTCACTCCAAACTTCGGAGATCACAGCATCCACCATGAAGCAGGCACTGCGAGCTGGGACTAGACTCAGCTCGTAGGGAGGCCTGACGACCAGCTAACAGGGCCCCTGCCAGCCATAGGGCCCCTTTGTGCAAAGTAGAAAAAAACACCCCTTCAAGATACTTCCATCTGTGGGAAAATTAACACCAATAGGTTGATTTTATTAGAATAGGACCTTTACTGCCATCTGCTGGAAACATAGTAAATACACAAATCTACAATCTGTGAGAATGGCACCATTCTCCCTTTCAGGTATTTAGAAATGATACTCATGTCCAGTGTGTCACCTGCCCAACCATGCATAGTGGCCCTGAGTCCAAAGTCACGTGATACCAGCCCACCCACCAATCCCTTTCTACGTGCACCATTATGTTCCAGGTGAGTGCTCTAAACTGACCTCTCGGCCTCCGCCCTTCTGCGTTTCTTGTAGGCAGAAAGGGATGCTGGGGGCTTCATGTCCACTTATCACCTAGCTCACAGCTGGCTCAAATGACTGACCCCTGAACATATCCCATGAATGCTTTATGCACTGAGGGTGTCGACTGGGGAGCAGGGATTGGGATCCAGATCCAGCACGGGCTCTACCTTGCTATGTGACCACAGAGAAGTATTTCTCTCTCTCTGGGCCAGTTTTCCTTTCTGTAAAATGAAGCAGTTGAGCTTGATTGTTTCCAGGAGCTCAGAGAGCTGTGACAAGGACCATCCAATCCCAAACCCACAGAATTTTGAGAAAAGCAGGAAGGTCATCCCAGTTGCTGATAGAAAGACAGTCAAGAAGACAACAGAATACAACTGGAATTTTCTTATTAGACTAGGAAATATAATTTATTTTGTAAAAATTAATTTTGTTACAATAGGAATGCTAAACATTATGTACAGGTTGAAGTTTACAGAATAAACAGCGGTGGGATCGGGCCATCCCCGCAGCCCTACATCCCCGGGACACATAACCATGTCCACGGCCCAGGCAGGGGGTCCAGCCCTTTGCCCCTAGCAGAGCTGCTCCCTGCACCCAAACTCCTGGTCACCTTCCCTCTGAAGGTGTACTGAGGGACCTGGCCCAGCTGCCTGGTTGCTGGGAAAAGGGGACCAGAGGGTCCTGGGTCTTCCAGGAGATGGAGAGACCCCCACACCCTTAGGAGGACCCCTGGTCTCTGCGAGAGAAGGCAGAGGAGAGGCACGTAGAAGATATACCGACTGACCCTGTGGACTCAGGGAGGTCACACACGCACATCCGGGTGGGGACATGTTCCTGGGGTGGGGGGGGTGGGCAACCTGATGTGCCTGCAGACAAAAGCACGCACACCCAGGGCACGCACACACGCATGCACGTGCGAGCACATCCCAGCGATGAGAGAGACACAAACACCCACTCGAGGCTCCTGCAAGCCCCTCGGGGGCCCCTGATCTGCCTCCCATGGGGAACATGGGTTATGTGCGGCAGCCGCTTAGGCCTGAATAAGAGGAGAAATCCTGATACTAGCCTAAGGTGAGCGGTGTGGGGCTGCAGCCACAGAAGCCTCAGCAGAGGACTGATGGATGGAGCCAGCAAATCCTTTCCAGGCATTTCTTATAAAGCTGGACAGTTTGAACCCTCCCAGGAGGCTCCAGCCAATTGGTTCTGTGCTCCAGGCCCTGGTACACACTTTCTGGAAATCGACTGAGAAATGGCACGTGGGTGGCTGGCCTGTCCTCATCCAGCAGGAGCTCTCATCCTGGGTGCTGGGCATGGCAGACTGCGGCCAACCTCCCGCCACTAGGGTTCCTACTAGAACCCTAGAACGACCATGTGTCAGAACCCAAAGGGAGTCAGACAGCTGCAGGTATGAAAAGGAGATGGGGCCCAGAGAGGGCAGTCCTGTGCCTGAGGCCACACAGCAGTTTACCGGCACAGCTGGAGCTTGAGTGCTGGTGTTTGGACTCCAGGCTGCCCGGGGGCCTTTTAGAGACGGATGGGAAGGGCACCGGGAAAGCCCCTGTGGCACTGGTCAGGCTGCTGTCAAGGCCATGCTGTCACACAGGCCTGCATGGCTCAGGCTAGGAGGCATCGGGGATGCGGAGCCCACAGCGGATGGGCACCCTGGGCAGGGAAGGCTCGCTGCCTTTGAGAAAACACCACACAGGCACTGAGGTCAAGAGCTGTTGCTGCCCCACCCCGAATGCACGCCTGGCCCCTTCAGCAGCCCTCATAGAAGAAATCTTCTCTCAAACCGAGCAGGCCTCTGTCTGCCCGCAGCTAACCTACCCCCCAGGGGGGTCGGTAGGTGGTGAGAACCCCCATTAGCCCCAGAGTCCATGGCAGGGAAGGGTAAGCTGGGGACACCGCCTGGGACTGGAGCTCCCAAACCTGCTTTCCTTGCAGGAGACCAGGCTTTCAAAGGCCAGGATATGCCCAGGCTGGTCCCAGCAGCTGCTCATGGACCTGCTGGGGCAAGCCCTGGGGTCAGAGCCTGCCCAGAGCTGTCGGGGGTGGGGGGGCTGGCACTGGCTTTGCCCTGGGTGCCAAGGAGGAGAGAGAGGCCTCTGTGCCAGTTGTTAAGAGCCGGGTCCCAGCCCTTGTCAGCCAGTCAAAAAGGGACCTTGTTTTGATGGCTCCTTGGAGCGTCCCAGAGCAGGCTGGCAAGGAGGTGCTGGCCCCTCCACTCTGGCAGCCCTGCCTGTTCTAAGCTCGCTTCAAGACCTCCCAGACTGCAGAGAGAGGCTGAGAACCGGGCTGAGGGAGGTGCCGGTGGGGGTCAGAGCTGGGAAAACAGCCCTCCCCAGGTCCTCCTCTGCTGCGGGGCGGGGGGAGGCGTGTAGAGCCCAGCCGGGCACCCACCTCTCGGACTGCAAGGCTGACGGCTGACACGTTCTTCAAAGGCACACCGAGGCCCAGAAGCTCAGGCTTCTGCAGTTAGAGGCCCTCTTATCCATCCCTTCTGTTTTATAGAGGAACTGAGGCTGGGGAAGACCAGTTTCTGGATTCCTGGGCATTAACAGAATGCCAATATGCTGCAGCCCACCTAGTCTACGGGCTGCTAGGTGGAGGGATGACCTGGCTGGTCCCATCCTGGGGTGAAGGAGAGAAACGTCCATAGGAGACTCTATCTCCCTCCGCCCCACTTCTTTCTCTGCTTGGGCCCCACCCCCTTCTCCAAGAGCCACCAGACTGGGACACTGGAAACACTGTCCCTGGCTCACAGCTGGCCCGGCTTGCCCACACTTTCTACCCCAAGGCCTCTTAATCCGGACTCCCCAGGAGCCCAGGGAGCCTGTGGGGCATCTGCCTGGGGAGGCGGGTGGGTGGGAGGACCCCACCCCACTCCAGACCTCAGGGCTCCTTGGCTTTATAGATTCAGCATCTGCTTACGATTTTAGAAGGAAATACGGTACCATGGCTAAAACCCCATTTGACCCTGTACAACTGGGGAAACTGAGGCCTTATAGGAGTTAGTCTAAGACGGAATCCTTAGCAGCAAGGTGTTCTCTGTTCTGTCTCTCTCTCCCCCTGATAATCTCTCTCTCACACACGCACACACATGCACACACGCTCACTCCTGGCCAGAGCCATGAGCAAGCCCACACTCATCCACACTCAAGAAAAGAGTTTTCTATTTTTTTTCTGTTGTTTTTCATTTTCTTTTTTTTTTTTTTTCTTAAAAAGGACTTATCCAAATATCTGGATAATAAATCATGTGCGTTTCCTAAGAAACTGGGTTTTTCTTTTCCCTTGTGGTTTTGGTGTTGCTCTTTTTCTTCTCGGAGCCTGACTAGCGGTCTGAAGTTTCTTTCTTCCTTTCCTTTTCCTTTTTGCTTTGGACAGGAGAAAGCAGTTCGTGTGAATTGTACTTGACTCTTCAAAGAGGAAAATGGTGTGAAAGGAGAAGGGGGCTGGGGGGGAGGGAGAAACCAGGACCGAGGGAGAAACTGAAGGACGAAACTTAGACAAACGTAACCCAGAGCTCCCGGGGCCACGGTAGGTGGTGTGGAAGGAGTGGGGAGGGCCACCTCCTGGTCCCCCGGGCTGCCTCCAGAGACCTCATGGTGGTTCCCCACAGAGATCTGATGGCAGGAGGGACAGCAAGGGGCAGAGAAGGAGCACTGGGTCCTCTGGACAACGGAGTACATGGATTTGCTAAGGCTGGTCGTGGTCTGGAGTGGGGCGAGGGGAGGAGGAGAGGGCGACTCCGGCTGTGAGCTGGGGGACAGCAGAGGCTGCACCGCCTCTCATGAGGCTGCCCGGGCCTCCCTGTGCCCGCCTCCTGCCCACCCTCCCAGCCCACGGTTTCGGGGCTGCTCAGCAGTCCCCGTCAGTGGCCATGGCCACCAGCATCTCACTCTTGCCCATCTCCTCCAAGGCACTCGCCAGGCTGTTGAGGTCCCCGTCGTCCTGCTGCAGAGCTTCCCAGAGGTCCAGGATCACACCCGTGGGGCTCGCTTTGGTGGCAAAGTAGTTCAGGTACCTGGCAGAGGGAAGGAGAAGGCCATTGGGCTCCCCAAACATCCAGCACCTCCTGGGAGCTTGGAAATGCAGAGAGCACTGGGAGGTGAGAAGACTCTGCGGTCCCACAATCCTGGGTCTGAACCTTAGCCCCTCTGCTGGGGGGCTGTGTGGCCCCTGCTCCTCTCTGAGCCTTGGTCTCCGCCTCTCTAAAATGGAAACTGTCTTGCTCGTCATCATCCATCATCCCTGTTAGTACTACAATTGAAAGACACTGGCCCCAGGAGAGACTGTCCAAACCTAGCCTTTCATTCTCTCCTCCTCCCACATCCGTTCCCTGCTTGGCCTCAGCCCCCACGCTCCCCCGAGAGCAGGAACTAAGCCTTAGACACTCTGCAAAGCCCATCCGTTTCTAGTAAGGTGTCTTGTATGTGGCATCTGCTCAACACAGGTTTATTAAAGGGTTTCTCAGTAGGTATGTAATAATAAGGACTATTGTTGCCATTATATTTATCCAGAAGAGCTTTTTAAGTTCTCCAGAAGGGTTTTGACATGCAAATATACTCTGTCACCCCACAAACGTTTCCAGAACACCTGCTCTGTCCTGGGCATGGGGGTGCAGATGGTGATCACACCTGGTGTCCTGGCTTCCCCTCATTCTCACAGGCCAGCACCCTGAACACGGCGCTCCTCAAGGAATGGGCTTCTCGGATTTCGCACACCGGAGCCTGAGCTCCTGATCGACCACGGATGGAAGGACCTGCCTGGACTGTCGGGCTGCCTGCCCCACCTGCCCCTTGGGGACAAAGGGAGGCTGGGGTGGGACGGGCCCGGCCCAACACCCACCGGTCCATGGAGAGCTTCTGTGCCAAGAGCCGCCAGTCATTGCCCCGCGAGTTGGGGGCGTCCAGGCTGTTGCATATCTTTTGGCGGATGGACAGTGGAATCTTGAAGGCATAGGGCCCCAGCTGGGTGGTGACTGTGTTGCCAGGGGCAGAGCAGAAGGCGTCCAGGGAGCTGGCAGGCGTCTGGAAAAGCAGGGGCAAGGTGAGAGGGGAAAAGCGCCCCGCCCCTCCT